ATGCTAACCATATTCTAGGCTAATCAAGCTTGCATGCTGACTGGAATCGGTGTTCAAGCACACTAAACGTTCTTTTCTTTTAATGCTATAATATCAAATATTTAAAATCTGCTAATTTAGATAATCATTTGGGTTAATGTGAAATCAATGATAAAAAGTAATAAGCTCAGAAGACACTTGCAAAATTGTACTTTAAATGATCATCTCACTTATATATATGGTTTGTTTTTTTTGCCATCGAAAGAAAAATAAAATTCCCTCAAAACATAATATATGTAGTGAAATTGGTAAAAACATTAATCATATGGATGTTTGGACAAATCACCTTTTAATGGACCAATTCTACAGTATAAATTGTCCAGTATTTAACAATCTTTTAGTTCCGTTTCATTTTTTAAATGACACTGTGAACAGATACGAGTATAAAAACAGTACAATAATTTCGTTCTTTTAAAGCATAATTTTCATCCAAGATACATATCAAAGGGTAAAACATGCAGTTCTGCAATAATCATTAAAGAAAAAAAAAATTAATTTTCCTCTCTAACAAATGCTTTACCTTTAATTTCTCTTCCAGGTAAATGCCAGTGATAATAAAATATATGACCAGTTCCAAATTAAAGCCTTTAAAAGACTTGGGAAATCAGTGCAGGGTATATATCACATCACACTGAAGTTGAGACCTAATCTGCAAAAGGCACACATTTACGGCTACTTGATAAAAAATATTGTTTCTCTTAAACTGCCAAAAAGTCCAAACTTAAATACAGAAAATGAAATATTTCAAATATTCTCATCAGAAGCAAGTAACATGTCAAGAGTTATTTTAACAAAACACCTATCTCACCCCAGGACTTCAGGTTTTATTTCAGGGTGCCACCAACAGCACTTTGTTGAAATTTTGCTTAGAAGCAAACAGCAGTTAACTGAACCACGGATAGAAGTGATTTATTATGCAGTCTTGGGGTCAATAGATGTTTTACAAGAATAGCCCTCAGTACACTCTAACAACATAGATAAAATTGGCAAACAAAGTCAATCTCCCCTACAGCAACAGAGCACAATTAATTTTAATAAAGTGGTTAAGTTCAATTTCCTATATAAATTGGAAAATTATTAATTGGTTGATATTTGCTACAAAGATCATAAACAGTTTTTACTAAAATTGGTCAGAGGAGTTTTCTCCAAAATGAAATGGGCAAAGAATTTCATTCTAGTTAATCTGTCTAATATATGAACTATTTCAAATTATTAAACTTTGGTACATATTTTCTTAATTAGAATTTTTACTTTGCCTTCAGATCTGCATGAACTCGCTAAACCATTTCATAGCAGCTTCTAACCCTCCTCTGTCTTAAGATAATTTGAAACTGCAGTGCTCTATTTCTGAAGATTGTGCCAACAACCCTGTAACTAAATAGCTTATTAGTTTGAATACAAAATGCACACTCAATCTCTCATAACTTAACTCACACAATGTACATAAAATGAAAAATTAAGTCATTGTAATTACAACACATATTCTTTTATTTTGGAGAACTGTTAACAACATAAAAAGTGGTTTAAAATCTCGGATAAAATCATGATTCATGTTCCTTAGCTGTCCGCTTAGATGAGAATTCCTGTGAATGATAGATTTGAAAAAATGCACATTTTTCTTGACAATATTATATTGGTCCTTCTCCCTATCTGTGTCTGACAATAATCCATCGATCCTCCTCCTTATCTGTGTCTGATGATAATCCATCGATCCTCCTCCTTATCTGTGTCTGATGATAATCCATCAGTCCTTCCTCCTGTCTCAAGTTCGTGTAGTTCACCGTTGTTTCGTTGATGTCTTTTTCACAGTGATGAAAGAATCCAAAAACATGGATCTATTGACTAACTATTTACACACTGATTTCACAGAAAAAAAGTACTTCTCTTTTTTACAAAAAATAACATGGATTGAAGAGGCTGAATACATCATAAGGACGTTTACACCAACTCAAGGTCATCTCTATGGTTACATAACCTACAATAGAAAAAAGGTCAAAATGTCAATAACATAATTAAATCATATTTACCTTAAAATAAGCTGATAATACTGACCAATTCTGCTTTCAGTTTCTGCTGGAAGAGGAAACATTTCTTGAACCATTCATTTTTGTGAATCAAGCAAAATTTTAATCTGTTTGAATTGAAATAGATCGATATGTTACGAGATATTGTAATCCCTCTCTCACAGCTTTTTTTAAAGCAAAATACGAAACCACTTTTACCATTAAACAAGTAGGGAATTTAACCATTTTGTTGATTATTTCTGTACTTACTGTTTGTGATCTTGACATTACCATGATACCATGTACTCCTAGTTTCTTTGTCTAAATATTGTATATCTCAACACATAACTGGTGTAACCTTTAATTTTACATCTGCCATAATCTAATACAACACCTTAACTTGTTACGGCATTTTGTCTTTTAACCATGCCAATCTTAAAGTTATTTTTTTTATATGGACAATTTTTTTTTCTTCCTTTTCTTCTTTTTTTTAAACTGAAATCTCAGTTTTTGTGAGAAATTTACACTAGATGGATGTTCTTTAGTTTTACCTCACTTACACAAAATTGAACTTTAAATTCTTTCTCCTCTCAAACAGAATAAACAGAACACTAATTTGAATTTGAATTGGAGCAAAAAGAACTGTTTTACTTTTTTACAGAACAATATAGCTCATAATCTCAACTACTCTTTCTCCCTCCCTAGAACAGAACATGCATTCTGCTACTTTCACACTCTCAACGCAACATAATGACATGTTTATCTCTAGAGCATATAGAACAAGTTTTGCTTCCGACACAAAATGGTTTCACTTCTCTCTCAAAAGGCAATTTGACAGCCTTTCCTCTTTCGTTAACATAGTCATCATTTCTCTAATTTCAGCAACTTCATCATTAAACACATTCATCCTCTCTTTGATTTCAACAACTTTTGTCTTCAAACCCTTTTCTTCCCTCTCAGAATTTGTGGCTTTAAAATTTGTTCTTTTTTCACAAATGACTATGATCTAAAATGTGTTTTTCTTTACAAAAGCTGTTTAAAACATTTCTATTTTTGAAGTTTTATCCTTTCTCTCTTAATACCTCAACCAAATATCTGTTTTCTCCAAAAGGATAAACATAACATCGAAAAAGCCTCACACCATTCTGACACACACCTACCAATAAAATCATTTGTGTATATTCTATTTTATCATTCTATACATCAATAACACACTAGCACTTCAAATAATGGAGAATTGATAGTTTTAATTTATTAAGCCTTATCAATTTTCCCCTTCAAATTATTGCCCTTTTTTACAAGCAAACAGGAAAAAAAAAACCCAAAAAAATAAAAAACTAAATTACATAGTACATTCATCACCTCGACAGGTATTTCTTCCTATATCAAAACCAAGGGTATAAATGTCATCCGCTTATTATCAATGAACATTTTATGTGGAAATCTAGTTTTCTACTTTATCAGAATTTTTTTGTTGCATTACGGATAAATATTTGCGGTCTTATCTTTTAATACACTTCACTGTTAAATGTGTTGAAACACCTTGAAATATAATTCAAATTCCATACAAACTTGAACTTTCCAACTTAAGTCTCTGGTATAGGAAAAAATTTGATCTTGCCCATAGGGAACAAGGTTATCATCATTGATTAGACTGTTGAAGAGTTCAAATTTGTAAGTGAATGACCACAGACAGATAGTCTGAACATGACACAATTGACACCAATGCATGAAAATGAATATGTAGTATAAGATATAGACTGTTAAATCTTATGTACTGATACATCTACCAACAACAACCCAATACATCCTCCTTCTGAAACATCAATTAAATTTCTTTATGTACTTCCTCTTGTCACCTTTTTCCGACAAATAAATGCATTATAACATCAGAATATTATTATTGAGACTAACACCACACACAAAGCATCATGACAAGGATATTTCTTGTGTGAAAATATATATGTTTATAATATATGAACGATACACCATGTAACACGAAAACAAAAGTTTCCAATAAAAATAAGTACATGCGTCAATATTGCACAGGATAAACTTGAATAAGAGCATTATGAGATGACATACCATATTTAACATAACCTAGCAGTATCACCATCAAGTGTAATAGGTTATCAGGGGTATAATGTAGTATACAACTATTTAAAGTAATAACAAAATAAAAAACTTTAAATGGGTTAACTGTTCAGCAGAGCCAGACATTCCCATAACCAAATATCTACAAACATTTGCAATTGTCCACATTAACAACATTCACACACCTGTAGTGTTTCTCTCATACAGCAGACCATTAACAAACAATCACACAGTGGTAGATTCAAACAAATTCATGCAACTATTAGTTCACATAAGTTCACTCATACCAGTGTAAGTCTATAAATCCATATGTTCGTAAAATGGTACATATATTCTATATATATATATATATATATATATCAATCTTCAAACAGGAATGTTACGCAATTCATCCTCCTAGAGAGTGAAAAGATCTCATTTCATTATACCCCACTTCTAAGGTCAGTCAAAAACCACAAATTGATATACAAAAATATCTGTGACAAAAATATATTATCATATGGCATACAGGAAAATAACTGAAAATCTATTTCAGATCATCTACTAGCAATACAACATAATAAGGAAATTAATAAAATAGTTCTGATAACACAGACTTTCTAATATTCCCTTTTGCAGACATGACATTATCGGGATACAAAAAAAAAAAATTTTTCAAAAAAAAAAAAAAAAAAAATTGAAAAGACTTAATGTATAAGGAATTACTTTTGGAAAACTGTAATTGAAAAATTCACATGAACTTCAACTTAACGAAGAATTGCACCAACAGATTAAATGTTTCAATCAAATGAGTTTTTGTATACATCAAAAACTTGGTATGTGACAATATTATGTAAGTTATTCTGAAATACTCTTTGTATTGTCTAGAACATATCAAATTAGGTACATAAAATTGTGTGGTATAAAATGTGTGGAATTTATCTAAACAATATGTATGCATGTATAACTTTTTTTTAAACTATAGAATTGTCTTGTCGCTTCAACCTAGAATTTGAACATCAAAATTATATTGTGCCGCTGAATAAGATACAGCCAAAATCTTATTATTAACAAGGTAAATTTTCAATCAATTTTCTATAACAAGAAAGATGGCAATAACGATGCCAGACTGAGAAATGGATCCATCTACAAACATCAACATGCCACTCTCTTTCATTTCACATCACACTTGTGGATTACAAATGTTTGTAGACATTCTAAACAATTTATATAACATGGACAAAGATGTCTACATTGGAATGATGCAAGAAAAAGTTTTGGTAATGATCACATGTAAAAATATCAACCTTGTAAAACATAACATTTTATATAATATGTCTAGCTGCCTCTCTTGTATTGCATTGAAATTCAAATAATTTGGCACATAATTTATTAAACACAACTTCTTGTCCATAAACTGAACAGATGTTTTGAGCCAATTTTCTAGTAGTATAGGAAACTGCCCGAGGTAGAATCATTTTCCGAATAAAATCTGCAAAAGAAATGTAAGCATTTTAGGAACATGTGCCTCTTTCACCGTTTAACATAGCCTTCACTTATATTGAATAATTAAACACCAAACAACCCAAGGAAAATATTTTTTATTTGGGAAAACACTCCTTGTTGAACTTTTTGTTAATTTTCAATATGAAACAGGGAGGTATGAGACAACAAACTTTACAAACACTTACCTGAGATGTGTAGGACCTCATACTTACCTGCTAATCCTCTGGAGTAGTAAACTGTTAAGACTGAGAAATAATAGCTCACCTCACATGATGTCCAAACCTTACTGTGTAGCCAACCCCATCAAATACTTTTGACATTATCTTCTACCCTAACAATGAAGGGCAGCCTGCCAAAATTTATTTTCCTATCTGTTGAGTTATTGAAAAAATTACTGTGTGCAGTCTGTTCTTCCAAAAGACAAATAAAATACAGCTAGCACAGGTTTGATTTGTACACCAATGTGTTTTCTTTCAAGAAATGCAGACTACGTGGTGAAATGGAGGAGCATGATGTGGATGAGGTGGTTACCTGGCAAGTCCTGTAATCAGTGTCGACGACTGCTGCTGTATTCTCTTTCGCGCTCACGCTCCCTGTCACGATCACGGTCTCGCTCTCCCCTGTGCGAGGACCTTGACTCCTCATAGTGACGTTCACGGTCTCTACTCCTCTCACGATATTCCCTTTCCCTACTTCTTGTTCGATGGCGACTTCTCTTTTCACGGTCACGAGTATCCCTTTCTCGCTCCCTTGAACGTGATCTTCTAGATGTACTCCTAAAAAAACGTTTTAAATTCAAATTTCAAGAGAATATTCTTTAATTCTTTAGGATTTTTTTAGGAAGTAACTATAAGGCTGAAAGACTTGATATAATCGAGAAAAATATGTTACTTGATGTAACTTGTAATTCATGTACACCTAATGTAGTGATATCATTTCCCTACCTATCAAGAGATTGAAATAAGGTTCAGTTGAGTATATATTCCTCCAGATTATCTTAAAAATGATAATCCAAGAGATACTTCGCATAATCATTTATGCTTATAAAAAAAATAAGCAAAATCGAAATAAGAAAGTAATCTTTAATGCCTTTCGGACAAGAACAATTTACAAATGACAGAAGAAACGAAGTTGTGTAATATAAAATAAATTGTTCATAACTGGAGATCAAACAATTCGCAAATGAATATTCAATTCCTGAAAATTTGAATAAGGAAATGGTAATCAAATATCTGATACAATTGAATTCCCCTCATTATGAACATGGAAAAATGTTTAGGCTGGGTTGTGGAAAGTTTCCAGTTGAATTCAGAGAGGCTACATTTGGTGATTATCATAAAAACATAGGTAGTCATCTCTGGAACAAACCTCCTGTAATTTGAAAGTTATGAGCATCAGAGTGACAGAGATGCAAGAGTAGCTTAGCTGATTACAAGAAAACTGACCAATGAAAAGTCACCACGTGAGCCATTTGCAGTGTTGTTTTATTTCTACATGTAGGTGCATTTTACAGTGTCAATCAGTTGTATATGACAGTTCACAAATCCAATGCTTTGTACATAAAAACTGGATTATTTCCCAGATTTGCAAACCAACTGTTCTTTACTCTTTGATGACATAACAAAAACAAGCAGGTATGCTGTTAAGTAGACTTTCGCTGTATGATCCACCCCTGTCGTCTTGTTTTACTACCCTCTTTTCAGAATTCAGATGTTTTGATTTGTTCCCTTATTCTGACTAAAGGTACCGGTATGTTTGATTGAAAATAAACATGTAATCAGATATATAAAACAACATTAATTACTCATATAAATTGGTATGTACCTGTGTATATGTACATAGATACAATTATTGACCTTACCATCTAAATATTAGCACATGATTTGAATACATTAAACTATTATTTGAATACCAAAATCTGCTATTTGTTTCAACTCTATTTATTTTTAGAAATACTTACTTGGATCCATATGACTTCTCCTCAATTCCGTGAAGCGTGTCCTGAAGGGAGCTGATAAGGATCTTGCAACGGTCATCACTGGCTATCTTTGATTGTTTGATCAGGGATATTGCTGTTACCAAGGTTTCGATAGCACTTGCAAATTCACCTAAACAACAATGACAAGAAAATCACTTAAACAATAGTAAACGAAATCAAACTTCTATATAACTTTGACAATGGCAGTAAATTAGTTGAAATATAATTAAAACCAATAGGCATCTTGATGAAGTGCACTAATATATCAAATATGGACATATCAAGAGCAGCAAAACAAGAAAAGGTGTAGGACTCTATTGCAAATCTATTTTTCTTTTTTACCTTCCTTTTAAAACTTTGATCAATAATGATGTATTGAAGAATATAACAAATGCATATGTGCAGATTTTATTTATTCAAGTAAAATGATTTTTAAGAAGTTCTGGAAAATATACCTGCACTGGCATCCTGTACAGCTCGGGATATGGCACTGCTTGAGACTGTTTTGTTCCTCTGGAATATCTCCTCAAACTCCTGCTCACTGAGTGCTGGTGACACAGGCTCAACCCTGCTGTTGGAATATATACTATAACAGACCAGGAATAAGTTTGTTACAGCACACCATTCATGACTGCTATGAAACCATTATACATGATTTTAAGTATTGATTTCTGATGCTGATGTTTATAAAATAATGTAAATGAGAAACGACAAGAGAATTAGAATCCAGTTTTTCAAGAATTCAACAAAAATAACCATGCATCTTACCTCTTATCCAAAGAATTCCTTTCGATGTTCATCACTCAGATATTCAGATGAAAATAATGATTTTTATTGAACACAATTGGGAAAGTTTCATGTGTTTCCATAGCAACAAGAGAAATCAAATTTATCATAAATTTCAAATTTATTGTAGTGAAAATGCCATCGTTTTTTCTTTTTTTTTTCTTTCTTTCGTTTTTTGTAAAAACTTTGTCATATCAAAGGAAGTAATCAAAAACTCTTTTCTCAACAAGCCAGTGTCAAATGACATGTACACGCACCTTTCTGGGGGAGGTCTGCTGTAGTGATCACCTGGGTAGGAGGACACTGGGGCTCCTGGAGGAGGTCGGTTATATGGATCTGGGGCTGAGTGCACTGGCTGTAACACAAACATGGGTAAAAATCTGTTTACTTTTGGTATGACAATAAACAACATGGATTTTAGATGCATACTAGTCTAAAGCAGTGACTGTAACCTGATTGTCAGTATAATTTTAATCACCATTTATTATATAGTACAATTACCTCAGATACACTGAAAATTAGTAAAAATACTTGATCTATAAATAAGCACCTTAAAGAAATGCAGATTGTGTATACATGTACTTACCACTGGTCCTGCTGGTGGAGGTCCATGCTGAGGGGGGAAGAACGCTGGGTTCACATGAGGGGCAGGGGTGGGTGGGTGTCCTGGAGGATGTCCTGGGGGCGGCAATGACATTGGCGGCTGGCCACTAGGTGGCATTCCTGTTTGAAATGCAGTAATAATCTAGAATCACATCTCCTTAAATAAAATTATTATCTTCTTTGTATAATACTAATCTACAAATCAGTGTATGTTTGGTTTTGCAGGTGTCCTGATTTTGGCCAAGACGAGAGTTGATCTCAGTTAAGGAGAAATCAGCTCCTCCTAGCCCTGTTATCTAGATTCATCAGGTTTAATATTACACTTAAAATTCAAAAGCCACAATATGCAAGAATAAAATTTATTACCAAAAGCTTGACAAAAAAAAATTAATAAAAGTCTATATATATCATGATATTCCCTAATACATAATTTGTTTTAAAAAAATACCAATTGTATCGGTTTCAATGATTGGCAGAAATATATATTTCTGATTAAACAAATCTGATTCAGCATAAAAATTTCATAAGAACAACACAAGATCTTGGTCTAACATTGACTTACTGAAGTCTTCATTAGTACTCTGTTTAAATGTTTTTTTATTTTTCATCTGTTTATTCCTGAATTGTATTTATACCTTAAAATTTCTTTTACACGTATTTGGTTAATTCTGCCAAGAGAGTAAGAAAACACAACAGTAATGTATTGGTGAAATTTTTCCAAATCTGTCAAAAACAATGACAGGATGATGGGAAATCTTAGCTTTTTATTTCTTATCATGAAATGGTCTCATCTTGGACAGATAACATCCAATATCAGACAGTCAAAGGCTCGTGTATTTCCAAAACAAACATATCATACCGGTACTGTCATCAAAATCATTCAGTGGTATATGACTTGGAGAAAATTATACTGATAATTTCTCTTGAAATATTATTACTGACTGATGAGGTCGGACAGCCAGCAAAGGTGACTCCATATATCATCCTTACCTGGCCCGATTCCTGGTCCCCCTGGATGGGGGTGTCTTGTTCCAGGAGGTGGAACAGGCTGTGGGGGAGGGGGTCCAAGGGCAGGGTTGTATGGAACTGAAATACCAATTGAACAGAATAAGGGAAAGTGTTAATATACATAGCCAGATTATCACAGTATGTGTTCACAAATACTGAAAAATTCTCGTTGATCATGCTGACCAGATTAACACAGATGATCATGTTACAAAAATAAGGACAAAACTAAATGTTGTTACCTGAAATACAAACATAAAATTCCAAAGTAAGGGGAAAAAATTGGTTAAGAATTTCATTTTCTCAGTAATATTTAGTTACAAAGCCTTTTACATATCACACATGTACATCATATCAAGCAAATCAGCCAGTGTCTACACAAATTGCACATCCACATTGAAGGCATCTATGTATAAAAGTGATTGTGTCAATAGTAAGTCAACTTCCTATGATCCCCTCCAGTATCACAATCATAGGTGGATATTTCAATAATATACCGTAGTTATATACATGCCAATCAACAATATTTGAAATGTCTGATAAAATGGTTTCTGACTTTTTCATGTGAATAAGTTTATAAACTGATTATGGAGAATGACATAAGGAGACTGTACTATAGTTAAATTAGATACCCAAGACACCAGTATCATTTATAGTGCATCACTCTTCATCATCACCTCACCATTCTTCACGTGAATGTGAAGAGTTTACGTACATTTTCACAAAACCAACACCTTTTATTTACTTTATCTATGTGTGATGCTGTGACGCCAAACTGTCGCTACATTTAAACTTATGTTACAACATTATTGATACAACATGAACAAATAAGATACAGAGCAGTTAACACCGTCCCATGAAAGCATGCTGATGGCTCCATCCAGACCTGTTGTTTTCTATCTGTCAATAACTCACTGAAGATCTAATCACTTTGTACAGACAGGCACATTCAGGTTTGTGGTCTGTTTAATCTAGACAGACTGGAATTACCCGAGCGTAACCAACTGCATGGTGTATAATACAGATAGGTCCCAGTATGAAGAGTTATTATCAGATAGTCATGAACCAGTGTGTGACCCCATGCTAGCTTTAGCCATCTGTTCACCTCCACCACCTCCGCATATTACATTCTATAAATCTACTAACTCTCATCAAATATTAAACATATTTATAAAATAAGAAATACATAATGAGAAAAAAATATCCAACTTGTTACTCAATACAACTTTTAAAACTACAACTTAACCAGTCAAGAAATACAATATCTTTGTTTTCGTCTTATTTTTGAGATTGGCCAGTTGACAAATTGGCTGAAATGAAAACTTTGGAGATTTTTGTAAAGGGAAAACATTGAAAATTTTCCATAATGATAAACATTTCGGATCAAGTAAGGCAAAAACTGAAAATTTTTCATCTCTAATTAAACCCATTGCTGCTTCAAATTTCTGTTTCTAGGTTAAAGTAACTGTTGACTATATTCTTTAAGAAATTACATAGCAACATCTTGTAGTGTTTTACATGTCATTAATGATGACACAACGTATTCAGCTCACCACAACAACTTAGTATTAAATAACTAAAAAGTGTGAGGAAACAATTGATCACCTTTGTAGGATATAAACAGACCTCTGGGGTGGATAAACAGAGGAATATTTACATCACAAGGATTCCATCAAACAATCTAATCATGCTTATATCAAGAACAGATGTTAACTGCTCAGTCATTAGCAATGAAACATATGCACATTTAATAAAAAAATTTGAATTTTAGCATTTGATCTGACTGTCAGTATCAAAAGTTTGTTTAAATTGTAATTAATATGTCAAAATACAATCATTTCGCGTTGATTTTGTACTTTTAATTAATATCATATTTCAAATTTGGCTATGTACTTTATATATATAAAAAGACATTTTAAAAAAATGACAAATTAAATTACAAACAAAAACATAACAATGTAAAACAACAGAACAAAGATCATTTCCTACTTATTAACTTGACAATGTTGGTGATCGATGTTACATCTCATTCCTTTACAATCATTCATAGTGTATTGTCATAAACCTTATACTCCTAAAACAGAAGGAATCATAGTTGATACATGACCTCTCCACAAAAACATAAATGCTTTCCTTTTACAGTATTGCAGCAGATTTTGGTAAAATATAGACCCATACAATGGAACTGTCAGACAATTCCACACCTAGACTAACAACTACTACATGTGCCAATTACTCACTGTCTGGCGAGTATAAGTTTGGAGATACAGACCAGTAAAATTTTGTCTTTAACAAAATAATTTTCCCCCTATTAAAGATCTTTCTACAATTGTCTGAGTTTGACCACCAACTGCTCTATCAACTTTCTTCTTTATTGGTAATAATTCATACCAACCCTTTTCCTAACCTTTCATAGGACATTCTGTCAATACCAAGCATTATTGGACTGTTTATTGACTACTTCAAGGTCAACAACTCTTGTAAGTGGTACCTAAAGAGTAACTATGACCAATTGGTACAAATAAAGCATGTGTAACTGTGGAGAGGTCAGGGGTCAGATTGGCAGACTTACTTCCAGGAGGTGGAGGTTGGCCAGGACGGTTCATAACAGCTATAAATTAGACAACATTATGGAAATCAACGGCCGAATAATTATCATCTTTACCTTCACAGTATGGAATCAACACTTATTAACAAACAAATATTAGTCACAGTTCCAAATATATGACATATCAGTTACAGTATCTACTAATATTGTACTGATGTCAAACAGCACAGACAAGACTAGGAAAACCAATGTACAAAATTATATAAAACTTAAGACTGATGTGTCACCAGACTTCTAATTTTTTCAACCTTTAAAACTTAACATGGAAATAATAGGTAAACTTGAGACTAATAATAATTGCATTACATACATCAAGTATGTCTGGTAAAAAATAATGCTGAGATTGTGACCAATAGATATTTATCATAATTGAAAAATGGAAGTGATACTTGGATAAGGATAATTTTAATACAGAATATGAATAATCGCATGTATGACTTGATTTACAAAAAATTACATGAAGATTTACATTGTGTAGACTTATTTGACAATAGATCAGGCCTCTCAGGATCTCATCTAATCCTGTAGATTAGACCTAGTTTAAAAACTAGGGGGAGGGGCCTGAATTTTTGAATGCTACATCAAACAAGTTGAAGCATATTTTCAGTATTTCCAACCCTAAAAAGTCCATGTGCATATTACATAGATGCACACAAAACACTGGCATTTATGGTATTCAGTACTAATAGGACAAAATACAAGTTGTGTATACCATCACCTCCATTTTCATATGGGTCATTCTGTTGAATTGTACATATCAACATGAAAACATAACAGTGTATTTGTATCTGCAACAACATCAGTAATTCATATATAACTACTCACTATAGCATACCACACTAAAACAATTTAAGCATTAACCAAAAGTCTAACGAAAGTCACATTAAATACTGTGTAGTATTCTGAATTTATATGAATCCAATGTTAATTTTTGTCCTTAGTTGACTTTGCTAATTCTACACTAAAATCAATATTTTGATTGATAAAAACAGCTTTTTTCGGTGAAAAAATGCTTTTTTGTAAGATAAGTAGCATAAGTTAATGTTTTTTATGTTTAGACTTGTTATAACATACACTTCCAATACATACAGAATATGAAAAATGCTCATACAACTTGTTACTTTTAAATTAAGCCAGTATATATTATCTTCTTATCAAGTAAATGTAATACTGTCATAACACAGGTAGACAAAATCACAGTATGATGAAATATACAACTTAATCTATTTTGATATGTAATCATACTTTTGCTTTTAAAATGATCCTCTAAGAAAAAAATCTACATAAACTCTACATCAAGAGTAGTACGAGGTAAGGACACATTTTACTGCAAGTAGTATAAATTGGAAATAAGGGCTATTCCAGTAGTATCATATCCTTCTCACTCAGAGATTCCATGTTTGTGTTAACGGGCACCAACCATAGAATTTACTGCACACCAACTTCCTTTCATGTGAAATTTTTTCCTCACAGATTTTGTGATAGTAAGAAAATAAAAAAAAATTAATCACAATGATTCAAAATGTAGATAATGAAAACTGGTTTTCATATTTAACATTTGTTATTTTATCATAATGACTATTTACCTTACATGCTACTTATCCTGAATCTACATATTCTTGAATTCGGTTAGTTGGTTCCAAGTTTGCTGTCTAAGGCATGTTTGAATTTTATGACTTTATCACCTTTATATAAAGTCAATCCAGCTTTTAAACAATTGACTTTCACATTGTTTTAATCTAAACAAAAACATGAGATACTACCTGAATTTGAAACTTATTAAGTCTGGTGCATTCCTTTGGGTATTGTATCATATGCTATTAAGGTGTCGAAAGTTATTCTGGTCTGTGTACAGGTCACCATCAGTACCATTCGAACATACCATTCAAACATCCTACAGTAAGCTTACCTGTCATGAAAAAATCAGTAACTAGATATGGGACCCCCTACTGGGTTTAAATAAAGACAATAAAATATGAATTTTACAGCGTTCACTCAGAATTCGTGAGAGTAAATCGCCTCAAACTTGTTATACTACTGAAATCTTAGAAGAAATCTAGTTTAAAGTAATTGATATTTTCCTTTGTGTAATAGGCAGGAAACCAAACAATGGTAAGATTTTTTAGTCCTGGGGTTAAATGGATGCTTTACTGGAATAGCCCCAATATAAAATCAGGCATCTCACCACATAAGGCCACAGTGGTGTAAGTACCACAAATCTGTGTTCCTTTCTAAATATGTTACATCTTACAATTTAAAACATATCACATAATCCCAAGATATTAAAATCAAAAGAGTCTGCATCACACAGAATGTCTATGTTTAAGAGCAAATTCTATGGTCTTGTGTCGACAACTGTGTAATCAGGACATATATAACAGAAACTATAAAAGGTGAAAAAGTCCATAAGCCCTGTCCTACATTATGTTATTTAATCAGAAGTAATGCTCTCAAAATATTCATACAAAAAACAACTGTTTGACTGGTATTGTTAAAAGAATCATGAATACTTATTAATATGCGATTGGCAATAACCAAACTCTTTACCTTAAACTATAGCAGGTATGAGATTGTTTGATAGCTCAGATTCATTTGATTTGTACAAATGTAGAATGCACAAAACAATAGCACTGATAGAGATCAATAACACATAGAAAGGACCATCCAGTTCTGAATTAATTATTATGGAAAGTGCTTATTCCATATTGAAGTAAAATAAAAAATATTTGTGCAGTGTTAAGTCTATCTAAAAATATTGATGGCCAGATCAAATTCATACCAAGATACATTTTGCAAACCTAATGAATATATAATTTGAAACACTATGTACCTGGGGGTCTGTCCCATTCTGGTCTTGGGGGTGGTCCTCTGGGGTCATGACCTGGAGGTGGGGGGCCTCTCATCCCTGGAGGTGGAGGGCCTCTCATTGGCTATAACAAAAAGAAATAACACTTTACAAGATCCCTATGGTTGCTATCAGGTAGGTGGTTGAAAGGGTTGATTGACTGAAGTGTAGGAAAAATGCCTCACACAGATCAGGACCTAGACTGGACAGTGGAATATAAGGCACTGCAGTTAGAAGGGGCAAGCCACACCAGTCTTAAACTAACCAGGTGAACATCATTAGATCTTTTCTTTTTAAATTTTTCATATAACAGGGCTGGTGCACATATATATTTTGAAAATTTAAATTTTATGAAATATATTTACAAAAGAAAATTCTAAAACTGTGTATTTTGAACTTTACTTTTAACATTTCAAACATGGAGTACAGATGTATTTGTCAATCGTGAAATCATTTTTTTGAGCCGCCTCAGCCATTTCAACCAGTTCACATGGAAATAGCCTATTTGCACAGAAAATTGCTATTCAATGTCATTTGGTACTAGGTACTTTATCTGTAACTACAAACTAAGGTCATAAAAGTATATACATACCATTCCTGGTGGAGGTCCGATATTCCTTGGGGGCATAGGACCACCAGGATGCATCGGGCCTGGGGGTATGTTCATATTAGGGGGTCCACCCATCTGTGGAGGTCCACCATGACGTGGAGGACCACCTACAAACCAAAAGTCACTCATTAGCACACCAAGTCAACAACACATTTTGTTTAAAAGGAAGATATACCATCTAAATTCTTAAAGAAATAAAATATATGGTTTACTCCTTGAAATGTGTTTCCCAAATTTGTGGAAAAGACCCTGATTTACTATTTTGGCATTGTTGGTAGCCCCATACATTGTTTAACATTTTTAATAGAAACTTAATCAAAATAATTGTCTATCAATTAAATAAACTGAAGTAAGTATAAAGGTTTAGACAGATATGCATACAGCAATGGTGACAGACTCCACACGATACAGCTTTAACACTTGTAAATAACTGTTAAACTGCTTTTATTACTTACATGTGTGTGTTATATAATCTCTTTGTGAAACTCACAATATCATCTATATTTATCTATATCAGAATAAATTGCATGGTGATTTGGCTTGTATAAGGGTATATTATCTTGTCATTACTTACACAACAATTGTAAATGTACAATGTTTGCTTACATTAAATGGTATATAAATGTGGTTAAAATGTGAAGAGACAAGCAAGACATCTAAATATAACTCCAGATGATATATCTATATTTGTAAATAGTAAATAAATACATCTATTTGATAATTTTCTCTTTAAACTATGTTGTTGTTGTTGTATGATTGATGACACTAAAATGTCACCACCTACTTTTTCTAGTATAATATGGCAGTTCAAATGAACTCACTACTATTCTAACAATGTGAAGAAAGTAATTTGTTTTTTAAATGTTCTATGAAAATCTGTGGCTATCAAATGTAAATATAAGAATTATTTTTCATCCTCTGTATGTGCATCAAAGTGTATTTACATTGGGGTAACTGCCCTTCAATTTATGAATAAAAAAACAAATCAAACAATTTGAATTGTTGAGCAAAGAGGAAATAAAAAATGTGATGTTATAGGGACAGAAGAGTTCTATTTTAAGACCCTTCCATCCATGAAGAGTATTTAAATCTACCATATTTGGGTATTAAGAAGTCTTCAAAATTTCAGTCAATTTCATCCTTTATGGCTACATCCATCAGACCCTGTTGGTCAACCAGTGTTAAAGCACCAGTCAATTTGACCACTTCTGGCCCCTGCAGCGTGGAGACCATATAATTTACTATTTTTGTTTATCTTTGATGATGGAAGGTTTCTGCTAGATTTCATGGAAATCAGTTCAGAGGTTTCCAGAAGAAGTAGAAAATGAAAAAAGTTTACAGGCGCTGGGCAACACTGCACAAAAGGGTATTGTAATAAGTCATCATGAGACAGTCTCAGGTGACCTAATAAAGGTGAGGAACTTTGGGATTGAAATGGGTGAAACAGCAATATTTTACTTTAGGAATGTAACATTCATCAAACCATACCCTCCAAGCTCTAGAAAGTTCAAACCCTTGCCTTCATGATAACATCAATGCATTACATTATTTTGAGTAAGTATCTGATTATAAGGACTTCTTAAAACTTCATTTTACCTAATTACCTCTTAATGAGCTTACAAAACTCCCAAATCTAGTGAAATCCAAGACTGTGCTCTCCTGTATGTGTTAGGAGCACACTGTAACCCCAATTTCAAAGCACAAAGGTAACACTGAATCTTGCCAACAAATAAAACAAGAGATCCCAGAGGGATCTTGGCGCCCACCATTTGAGGATCTGTTTTCAGTTCTTGAAGATTTGTTTATGTTTTTTTTTGTTTGTTACAGGTGTTGTAAATGTTCATAAACTGGTCTTCATTGAATGTACTCAATGATGGCACAAGATATTTTTATTAAGCACCTGTTAGCAAATATCATTTGAAAAAGATCCCAAAGTATTATCAGTATTCAGTTACAGGTGGATAATGGACAATATGCTTGTGCTGTATTACTGTCGACATCCAAGATGGCTGCCTGTGGGCCACCTTGATTTCAAATCAGTCCAAAAAAGGTACAATGCACAACTAGGGACCAAGGGAAACCAATATCTATGAAATATCAGAAGGATCCATCCAGTACTTCCTCAGATATAGCAGTAACAAGATTTTACTCTCAAAATCCAAGATGGTCACCTGTCTGCCATCTTGAATTCGAATCAGTCCAAAAAAGGTACAATACACAACTAGGGACCAAGGGGAAACTGCATATGAAATTTGAGAAAGATCCATCCAGTACTTTTCCAGAAATAGCGGTAACAAACTTTTATTTCAAAATTCCAAGATGGCCACCTGTCTATTAGATGGTGGTCTAAAAAAATACCTTCCTGAAATATTAATATGTAAATCTTTAATTACCTGAGAAAGGAGGTCCGCCATGGGGTGGCATTGGTCCTGGTGGAGGGGGCCCTATAGGAGGTCTCTGTCCTTGATTTGGTGGGTGTTGATGTCTTTGTTGCATCATGTTTGGAGGTTTGTTGGACTGCATCCTCTGTTGTGGGGGCCCACCTTGATGAGGGGAGTTGTGAGGGGGCCCACGAGGAGGTTTGTTTCCTGTAGAAGCGTTAAATCCTATATGAAATCACAGACACTGATTAAAAAGACTGTAATTGGCAACAAAGAATCAATTTACAAGTAAAAGAAAACTTTTGTTCAAACAATGAATCACTAACAGGCTTTAAAAAATAAATCATAGAGAATTTGAAATCTGCAACCCTTAGCTGAAATTGCATTTGGCACTGATAGTAATGGGCACAAGTAAAGGTCTTCACAGAATATGTTTATGTTGTGTAGAAACAGTCTTGCTTGTAAAGTCTATCATTAGATAAGGCTTTTATTTCCAGAAATTGAATTGGCAAAGTTGAACACACTTGAGAATCAATATCTAACTTCAATAACTTGATTCAAGTCCAAACTCTCTTCATGTAACTCCAACTGTATTGTCACAATGCTTTCTGATCAAATATAGTAATTTATTCTTTTCCTCATTGTGCATGATGAATCAAAATCATTTCATATTTTGAAAAGTGGTTTGATTTTACTTTTCAGTTTAATGAATATTACATATAAATGAAACTGTAGCAAAATTGGGTTTGACTTAAGCTCAGGCAAAATTTAATAATTATTTAAATCATTTATTCACTCCAACCAAGTATAGTAAATTATCTTCATGGTAAAATTTCTCTCTGAAAACAATTTAGCACATACCACTTTAAGCTAATCTTGATTGTAAACTTGTTAAACACTAAGCAGCTGATATTGGCTTTAAAAATATGATTTCCTACTCATTATTTAATAAAAGAGTAACTTTTCTTTAAATACTTCTCTTAAAAGTAAACTCAGCTCACCATCCCTGGAGAACTTGTTTGAAGATTCCCCATTCTGTGGAGAGGCATCACCCTTGCGTGCTTGGGCTTCAAACTGACTGAGGGCCTGTTTGTTGCAGTGAGTGACAGCTGGCACCTGGCCATGGATCTCTTTCCTCTGGAGTTTGTCAAAGATGTGTCTTGATGAACTGTCTGAACCCACAACTACCACCGCAAAGCTTAAAATATAAACGCATGAAAGATTAGGATATCTACACAGTACTTTTACAACAAACAAATCATTAATATGGAAACAATGAATTAAAACATCATTAAGAATACATCTAGTGAAAGCATCCACTCAAATGAAACAAGGACGATAAAAATAACTTTTCTTACCCTTTCGATTGGCCATTAGCTCTGTTTTCATAAAATTTGATTTCCACAAGGTCGGTGACGCCAATGGAAGCTACAGCATCAGTAAGGTCCTGGTCTGTTGTCCACTACAAAGGACAATAATAAGCAACAAATTACAAGCACACTCCTAGGAAAACATTCTTAACAAATCACAAATCTAAACCCCAAGGTACTTCAGTTTAAAATGTCGACTAAATCTGAGAAAGCTTTACTTATTATTACATTTCTTTACAAAGAAAATCAGTAAATAATCTGTCACAAATTTTGTTCTCTAAAGATATATATATAATGAAATTTGTTGACATTCAGTATATGTACTTACCCATGTTAGATTTCCAACATATAAACTGATTCTTCTCCCTGTGTATCCATGAGGGACAGATATACTCGACAGAGATTTGCTGTCTCCATCATTTTGCTATTAATAAATACAAGCAACATTATTGAAACATCCTATGTATAGAAAAACATCACAAAATACTGAGTTACACTGAATTTAAGTGGCATATGAAACAAGATTATAAGACAATCTCTATTGTTTGAGACAGTTAGGTCAGTCTAATGGGAGGGTCTTGATTATCAGAACAGTAATGTGAATAAATCAATAGACTCTTTGTGATTTATATTTAAGAAGTCAAATATAATACATTTAAATTGAAGTTGGAAGTTCTGGAAACTTTAAAAGGGTGACAATTATACTGTTCAACATATCTTACCGGTAAATCTATTCTTTCAGAACTGGAAGATGCAGTTATAACATCATTGTACAGGTCATCATCTGGAACAGCGTCGTTGTCCTGAAAAGGATTTAAATCAGTAATAATTTGTGTGTAATTGTAATATCATTAAAGATATTTCTTAGGGTGAACATTTTTGCTCTTGTATTCCAAGTCAAAATATGCAGCAATTCAATTTTCTGCTAAATTTTCTTTTTCATTCCTAAACTGAATGGATCAAGGTGCAGTGAACTAAAGCGGATTTCTACTAAATGATTCACAAACTGAATGGGTCAAGCTGCAGTGAACTAAAGCAGATTTCTACTAAATGATTCACAAACTGAATGGATCAAGCTGAAAAGAACTGAGTAGGATATGTTACATCTTGTCGAAACTTCATCCCCTGGATTTGTCATTTGTAAAGACCATGTACTTCATTATTCTTAATAGTACATAAACCTATCCAATAAGGCGCATGTAGATCTAAAAGTAAACTTTTCTCTAATTTCAGTCATAGCAGTAACATATTGTTTGATTTTATAAGCCCTTTACATTTTCAATCTATGGAATTGATCATTTGAAATGAGGGAACTTCATGAATTGTTTCATGCAAAACATTATGCTTTCTTTGCCAACATGGAGCAGACAAGATATCAGCATTCTCGCTTCTACAGTTGAGTGGCAAAATGCCATGTCCATGAAAAAGATGAATATGTAACTACAGTACATACATTGTTATTACAAATCCTGTTTACAGTTTTTCTATAATCTTTCTACCATATTGTTCATAGGATCATCATAATGCCAAAAGTAAGCTAACTCTATACCATCACACTGTTCATCTGTCTGATGAAGTTAACAGTGTAGTCATTGAAACATCTTAATAAATACATCTTTAAATCTTCTACTGGTTATTAGCACTTCTAGTCTGAAGAAATTATTCTGAAATAACCTTCTAATATGTCTTACTTATTCCAACCTTTCAATCAGACTATTTCTGGAAGCATATTTATATATGAGTAGATTATGTCCGTTACCATAATAAAATCGGAAGAAAGCAATATTTTTATATGTCCTTGGAATTTTAATGACTTTCAGGCAGCTGCTTTCAGACAATTTGGACACAAATGATAAATGATTTTCATCAATCCACAGACTTCTAATGGTGGTAAATCAATGAGTCTATTCTGGTATTTCAGTAGTCCTGGTTGTCAGACTATTATATATTGACTGAAATTACCATGTTTATAAGCTAGGTGGATCAAGCAATGGAATAAAGCTGGAATTTATTTTGTGATAAATTATTTTATCTAATATAATACCTTAATTTTGGATACACATAACGGTATTCAAGCTTTAAGCTATATATAGTGTGTGGGGAATAAGTGGTTGCAGTTGGCACAATAAAGTTAAAACAAAAACGGCTGGCCAGCAATGTCTGGTCTTATGTTGAAGGACTTGGAGAAGACACACAGCAAGTTGTCTTAAAGACTGGTCAAAAGTAAAACTAAAACAAAATATCAGGATGGAATCAGACGAGTTGGCCAAATGAGTTATCTCCCTTGATGAATTTTCTAACTATTCAAAATGCTCTTTTGACAAAAATTAATATATCAACAATCGGCATTATTTCTAAATAACCAGTAAGACATATATATAAAGATTAACATTTCTACGTGTATGAACAACCCTAATAAGCACTGATGGGGTTAATCAGCATAAAAACATGGCTTGGCTTCGATGTCACGCGAGCACGTTGCTACAAGTATGACCATGAACGAGACTACTGATAATGTGATTCGATCTAACCCTATCTCAAATCACTAACACTAAATAATGTTAACCCCTATCTTAACATTGCATCGTCACCAGAAACATATAACCCGTTTTCTTGAAATAACAAACCAAATCTCAAATTTAACAGAAAACAACAATGGCGGCTCATGACTGAACAATTGCATGCAATTAGACAATCGCGATATCGTGTCAACATAAAAATGTTAATCCCTAATAGCTCATTCCAAATGCATATAAATAAAATATCTTCGATACTTTTTTTCAGTGTAACCACTTACACCTGCATCGAACCCGTCCTCTAAATTGTCGTACAAATCTATGTCCACGCCATCCGCCATTTTTTCCCACACAATCTCGTGGTCTATAACTTCCGGTGGTGAAGACGGCCATTTCAATATCCGGAAATACTAATATATCGAATACTGTTTCTACTATGATTCTTTCTGAGCAAAGATCTGTTGCTACTTTTAATCCTGTAAAATGCTATCTGGTCTAATATTCAGATTTAATATAATTATCGTATCATTTATATATCTATGTCTACCTACGTCGCAGAAATACAAATGCATCACCGTGATGCAAGTGACGAAAACATGGAATATTTCTGTTGCCTTCTCGTGATAAGTTTTCGTATGAATTATTTTGCTTTTTTTGTCTTGAATCATAGCCATGATTATTTACTTTCAAATACGTGGAGATACTTCAATGCAGTTCCCCATTGCTATAGCATGTTTTACCCGTTGGAATTTGAAAACAGTCTTATAACTTATTTTAATTCCTTTCCAAAGTAGTTATAAAACAAAGAAACCTTTTAAACTGGAAACGCCTTACTTACATGGAATGAATAATAATTAAGTTTTACAATTAAAATATAAATGAATAAACACACACACGTGGTGAATCATGACGCCTTAGATTGTTTATATATATGTTTGGTGTAGTAGTTCAATAAAGTAGTGATTACAGCATTTTCTTCTTTGTCAAACGACTTTTAATCAGCCAGTAGACACCATACATGGATTTAGTGTTAGACTGAGGTACAGTGGATGAAGAACGAGGAGTCGATTTCAGGCCTAATTAGATATAGATATGATTTATACAATATTTAAAAACAATTGATACAAAAATATCTAAAATGTTAACTTCGTTTGATAAAATATTGAACCATCAAGAATACTACATCGATTTTTTTCTGTTCGGAGTAAGCATCATTTCCCCATAGAAGCGTTTTTCTGTAATACATGTAGTAATGTTGAATTGCGGTAAAGTTATTTGTCTATTTATGGTTTATTTTTCACAAAATAGTGATGATGGCGTGTACTTTCAACTAATCCACAGTTACTTAAGGAAGTGTCCTTCAAATTTCCTATGTATAACTGTTGTTTGATATTGCTACATCATGTATGTACAATTTTAAATCGTGTACTTCCAATGTTGAAATATTGAATGATTATTACTCTGTCTTTTTGTAAGAAACTTTTAGTGGCACCGAAAGATGGATTTTCACGAAAATCGACAGGTAACGCATTCAATAATCATATTGAGGAATTTTAAGATGAGTCTTTGTTAAATTGTGTTCTATAATTAACTGAGGGTTAATGATTGAACTTCTTGTATTATGCTACTTTGTATGCTACTTTACCTGGGATTATGATCGAATTATTATGTATAATACGTTTGTGTATCAGTCAGCATTTTAAGTAGAATTTGTCTCCCCTCTCCCACTCCCAACATTAACGTTGCATAGATAGGAGCAACCATATCGTCTAGTCAGGTTGGAAAAGAAATTGAGCATTGATTAGCTTTTTTTTCTTGACATCATACTTGATAATCAGACTTGATCATCAGTGTCATAACATTGTCATCCATTCATCATCATCATCATCATCATCATCATCATCATCATCATCATCATCATCATCATCATCATCATCATCATCATCATCATTATCTTACTACATATACTTTACTTGATCATCATTGCCATAACATTGTCATCCATTCATCATCATCATCATCATCATCATCATCATCATCATCATCATCATCATCATCATATATTCATCATCATCATAATCATCAACACCATCAGACTTGATCATCTCTGTCATCCATTCATATCACCATCATCATCATCATCATCATCATCATCATCATCATCATCATCATCATCATAATCATCATCATCATCATCATCATCATCAAATTTCATCAGACTTGCAGTTAAGTGTTTTTGCATGTATGACTCAATATAGCCACTTTAATTTCTATACAATGTACATACCAATTATAAGTTCAGCTATCTACAATGTATCACAAGACACACTTACACACACACACACCCTCACCCACCCACACACACACACTCACACACACACCCTCACACACAGTGTACACACACCAACGCTCAAATATATGCATGTATTTAAATATTCTATCTTAGTGGACAGACAGGGAAAGTAGAGAGAGAGAGAGAGAGAGAGAGAGAGAGAGAGAGAGAGAGAGAGAGAGAGAGAGAGAGAGAGAGAGAGAGAGAGAGAGAGAGAGAGAGAGAGAGAGAGAGAGATGATGAAGTGATAATTTAGAAATGTTATTAAGTATGTTGTTTATTCCATCTATTGAACACATTTTGTATTTGTGTTTGTGTGGAATGCAAAACATGTGTCAAGAAAAACAAAGATAACAAAGATGTGGTCAGAACATTAATGACTGATTATGCTAAAATGCCAAAAATCAAATATCTCCATATCAACAAGCTCTGCACCCCTACTCTTACACTAAAAAATTCCCAAATAATATACAGTACACAAGCCTGATCTTTAATTGAGGAAACAAAGTATCTATTCGCTAGGTTTTTTTTCTGTAAGTGTACGTTAAATGTCGTACGACAGATAACCGGTTTTATTTACACTGTAAGATGATGCCTGCTTTATGTGTTACACATTTTCAATGATTAATGTATAATGCAAAAAGCTCATCTTGGAATCAAACAATGATTACTAGTTAGTCATATATCATTCAATGAAACCAAAAAAAAATCCAATAAGTTCATTGTAATAGTTAACTTCGTTGCGATGATAAAACTTCGAAAAAAAGTGAAAAGGTAAGAGGTAAGTCCGCTTTTCTCGATATTCCAATCACCAGCAAATTAAAATCGAATTCATCTAGTCCGTGTTGATTACTTACATAATAAGTAGATCTTGATCAAAATCAAATCCAATTTGCATATTTAAATAACTCATTTAAATATGTTGTCAAATTTGGACACAGTGAGGTTTAAAAGATAAGATAAGATTTTGATGGACGCAGGCAAAATAAATGCCTCTATATCCATATCTACATTATAGTTTTAGAATTGATCAGTATTTCGATTTAAACATAACTCCCTCATTAGTCCAATTCACACAAATCTTATGATCCCTACAAAATTAATTAATTCATCCTATTCCCGATTGTTAAATATTAATTGCCTGTAGTTTGACTACTCTCCGTTTCCATGGAGGCCCACGGACCCGGTAAACAAAGCCTTCGGGTTCTTCGCTTTCTTTCTCGATGGCTTCTGCTCTTAGTTCCTTCTCTAGACAACAGTAAGATCATTTCTGATTCGGATTTAAAATCTCCCTTGTTTAGAAGCAAAGACACGCCCACCATCCTTCCTTTGGTGCATTTCTTATATTGGTGTCATGACGTAGTCTATGTAGTTTTAAAGTCATTTGCATACATGGTGCTGTTTCACTTAAAATTCAATGCAACGATTAAATCAACCTGTTAGGAGGTATCCATGTTTAAAACAACTAACTACGTAGTAATATTTTTGCGGAAAAACTTAAATATGGTGAGGTTTTGAAGCTATTATGCTCTGGTGTTGTGGATCTCTTTCACATACGTTCTATATACGTTACCTATCCCGTGATACCTAATGTTAGCATGTAAAAACAATGAAATGAAATCAGTTAAAGGGAGGTGAAGACCGAAATTTATTACCACAATTTACAAAGTGCAATTCCCGACATTAGTTCACTGTCTGATTTCATTGACATTCTGAAATGAGTGCATTTGAAATGAATATATTTGAAACACCGCGATTAAAATTTGTCCTGTTGTATATATACAGAATACAAGAGCGTGTTATATATATCTTCCAAAAGAAGCTAAGTGTGATTTTCCTGTCAAGCATGGGTTGTCACATGAACAAAGCTCCCTAAAAGAGTGCTCCGCTTGCTCCCATTCCTATTCGCTTCTATAAATACGGTGGTGCCGTGTAAGGTACGGTATACTGAGGTTTTGTACACTGTTAGGATTTCTTTTGAGCACACGTTAACCGTGTCTTTATTCAATGGTATTTATATATGAATTTCCGTTATTGTCTGTGCAAAAAGTTTGTCTATATAAGGATGTGTGATTACAAAAGATTATGTCTTTAATTCGTTAATTTAATTCTTTATCAATTGTTGTAAATTGCACCTTGTCGATGATCTATGGCCCCTTAGTGTAAATGTCAAGGTTATAAAATTCCGATTGATCTGTATAAACATATTTGATGTAACTTCGAGAAATAGGTGATCATAACAGGTACTTGTTTTCAGCTAGTACAAATAGACTTCTCGGACGGTGGAAGAAAGTCGGTATGTATCCTGTTTCGAACAAAATATACTAATGCAATTTATATCAACTTATATCTTATTTGGAGAGAGAGAGAGAGAGAGAGAGAGAGAGAGAGAGAGAGAGAGAGAGAGAGAGAGAGAGAGAGAGAGAGAGAGAGAGAGAGAGAGAGAGGGAGACACACAGCTTTGTATTTGATGAATACCTTTTTAAAGTGGACAAAAATTGTAGCAAATGATGTCAGGGTCTTTACAAGCTATTACACTGTAAAACGGTAGATTACTAATAGTAGTATAATTCCATATTGTAACTGAAAATGAACAATTTTCAGGAAAGACTTACTAAAGTTCCAGAATGGGCTTCCATTTACTCCAATCAACTTCAAACTGCTGTTTACGGAGATCCGTTTTACTGCTATAGATATTTTTTTGAGTCCAGTAATGGTCCTTTATGGCATTGACAACTGCATTAAGGTGTAGAGAATTACTAAGACATCTACTTTTATATATGTAATACTTGATAACAAGCAGTATTTCATTATCAACAGGAGTACAATTTTGCAATATTATTCCAAAGAGAAACGATTCTTTGTTATACGCAAACGGAATAAATAAAATATCAAGGAGATTCAAATTGCTGAAGTAATGTCTGGACCTCTTGGCACTCCCAGAGACAGTGCACAATGGTTTCATTTTCCCGATTACAAATGGTACATAAAGGACTATCAACTAAGTTT